ATAAGGTTTTGTTCTGTCACGGCACCAAGGCTATGATTCCTTTGATATATGACCCTGAAGTGAGCGGGTTGGTTAACCTTGTTCGCATCATGGATCCTGCTGTAATGATATAAAAACTAACATGACATCACTAAATGAGTCTCCTGTTTCCTCTTTTTCAGATAAGAACGCTGGCCTGGCCGTGCTGGAACAGGTGGAGGACTGTTTGTCTAACCTTGTTATAAATGACACTGATTAGCTTGTACCCGGGCAATTCGAGCCCTGCGTGCTGGAAATATAGACCTTCCTCTCGCATCTTCCTCTTCTTCCTTCGCTGACTGTGTCTGTTGCTTCTGGGTGTTACAATTGGTGTCGGAGGTGTCCAAAACTCAATCTCGAAATGAAATCAGATTCTTCCGATCCTCCTGCAATCTTCTCCACCCCACAAGTCAACCCACAATCCCCAGCCACAGAACACATCTTCCCGGTTCGAGGATTACCAACGTTGGACCTGAACAGCGATTACGAAATGTGGAAGATTCGCGTGGAGCCTCTCTTATCCGGTCTTACTCCACACGCTCAATATACTCAGATCATGCTAGCAATGAGTGACACCGCACTACGTCGTGCTATCGCTGGGGGCTTCTCCGCGTCCAAACCCATCAGCTACAACTGGCGTGTCCTCGACGAATGTTTCGCCAAAACCTCCAGCCCTTCGGTGTACATGCACACTTTTCTCAGCCGCTGTCAAGAGCCCGGCGAAACAGCGTTCGATTACCTGCATCAACTCCGCGAGATGGCATCGCGCGCATTTCCCAACCTTCCCAACCCGAACCAAGATGATGTTATCTGTAGCCGTTTTGCCCAAGGTGTCTCATCATATGAGCTGAAGTGCCAGCTTCTACGCCAGCCAGCAAAATCAGTCTCAGAGGCCATTGAGGTGGTAAAGCGATTCGAGAGCGTCGAGCATATTCTCACTCCAGCTGCCAGTACGCCCTGCTATGCTCTCGGGACCACCGAGCGAAGAACAACCGTCCCAGCATCACGACAACGCCGGCCTAATGCTCCATCGTCAAGCCAACCTCCAATTCCGTCCCAGCAGCATGATGACCCCAGTAAGTGCTATTACTGTCGCCGGTTCGGGCGGCGAGCATGGAAATGTGGGCATAACAAAAAACCGCAAGGTGAGCCATGTTCTGATGTGCCATTATTTGATAATTGCTCGAAATCTCCCCTCCTCCTTGAAGGTAAACTCCAGGGCACTGACGTCACTTTTCTGGTGGACACCGGGGCATCATCCTCTGTTGTTCGCACGCAATTGGTCCAGACACTTGGGGTCAAACCTCAACCTCTCCCCAATCAGCTCCAGTTAATTACCGCCAATGGAGCCCCTATAGAGGTAACAGACATGGCCACACTTTCCGTGACGTTCCCAGGTTTTACTTGTGTCCAGTCATTCGTCATTTGTGATGGCATACGATGGGACGCCATACTGGGCGTGGACTTCTTAACTGAAAAAAACGCTGTCATTGACCTAAGACGCTTTCAAATTCGGCTGGGGACACATAACCTCGCATGTCGCCGACCAGTCAACCGCAACCAGAGTGCTAATGTTTGTGCTTTACCTCAGATGACAGTGGTGAACATCCATGATAACCCCCACCTCAGTCTAAAAGACCGTACCGACACCCTGGCCCTGCTACAGGAGTACAGTTGTGTATTTGACGATGGGCAAGTGATGGGGCGGACTAATATCGTACAGCACGAGATTCAGACAGGTGATAACTTGCCCATTAGGACGCCACCGCGACGAGTGCCCATTCATTACCAACAGCAGTTGGATACCATGATAACAGATATGTTACGAAAGAAGGTGATTAAACCGTCTACGTCACCGTGGGCATCTCCAATCGTTCTTGTGAAAAAGAAAGATGGTTCTCTCCGCCTCTGTGTCGACTATCGCCGCTTAAATGCAATCACACAACGGGATTCTTTTCCTTTGCCTCGCATCGACGCTACCTTAGATGCTTTAGGTGGGGCACAGTGGTTTTCCACACTAGATCTCGCTTCCGGCTATTGGCAAGTTGAAATTCGCCCAGAAGACCGCCCCAAAACTGCGTTCGTTGTGCCTACGGGGCTGTACGAATTCGAAACCATGCCATTTGGCCTGTCTAACGCCCCTGCTACGTTTCAACGGCTCATGCAAACAGTACTTGCAGGGCTAGTCCCCAAACAGTGCCTCATCTACCTGGACGATATCATCGTGTTCGGCCAGTCTCTCGAAGACCATCATGCCAACCTTCGCGCCGTATTTCAACGCTTACGCGAGAGTAACCTTAAGCTGCAAGCCTCGAAATGCAAATTCCTGCAGAAATCTGTTAATTTCCTTGGACATGAGATTACTCCACAAGGAGTACATACGGATAGCAGCAAAACTCAAGCAGTTCTTAACTGGCCGACCCCTAAATCGACCACTGACGTACGCAGTTTCATGGGACTCGCCTCCTATTACCGGCGTTTCGTCCAGAATTTCGCCAGTATAGCAGCCCCTCTCCATCGCTTGACAGAAAAAGGACGGAAATTTGTTTGGACAAATGAGTGCCAGGTAGCCTTTGACACGCTTAAAAAACGTCTAACTTCTCCCCCTGTCCTATCGTTTCCAGACACATCGGCTGGTAGCGGGCCCTTCATTCTGGATACCGACGCCAGTGCACATGCAATAGGAGCCGTTCTCTCGCAAACAACCTCTGACGGACAAATACGAGTGATAGCATATGCTAGTCGGATGCTAGACAAAAGAGAGACGCGGTATTCGACGACGCGACGTGAGATGCTAGCCCTCGTCTACTTCCTCTCCTACTTTCGTCATTACTTATTGGGGCGCAAATTTCGAGTCCGGACTGACCACAAGGCGTTACAGTGGTTGCAAAATTTTCGTGATGCCGACGGCCAACTTGCCCGCTGGCAGGAACGGTTACAGGAGTTTGATTTCATTTGTGAATACCGGCCTGGAAAACGACATGGTAACGCCGACTCTCTCTCTCGCCTGCCCGATTGCGAGAACACACTGAATGTGTTACTCGGTGCTGCAGCTGACACCGACTGGGCCTCCCTGCAAGCGGCGGACACAACGATACAGCCCATTTATTTACGTCAACAGCATGGGAACGATAAACCGACGTCCAAAGAACTACGGGATTTACCAGCAGCCACGCGGTGCATCTGCGAGAAGTGGGGTTTACTACGACTTATAGATAATGTTCTTTACATAGTGGAACCAAAAGCCAACCCCCGACTCCTCGTCCCAACTGTTAAAGTACCCGAGCTTATTAGTCAGGTGCATCATCAACTGGGACACGCTGGCCAACAGAAAACTGAACACGCTATCCGTCAACGCTTCTGGTGGCCACTTATACACCATGATGTTATGGAGTTTTGCCGCAATTGCGCTATATGTGCGCAAATCAAACAGCCTAAGCCAACTCCCCGAGCACCCCTAGTACCTATGCTGACCGAAGCCCCTAATCATCGAGTTGGAGTCGACATCATTGGGCCAGTACCAACATCGAGACGCGGGAATCGTTATATACTTGTCATGGTCGACTATTTCACCAAGTGGTGCGAAGCAGTCCCCTTGCAGCAACAAGATGCCCTGACGATCGGGCGAGCTTTCATCGACAACTGGGTGTCCCGTTTTGGTGCCCCTCTTTATCTACACTCTGATCAAGGCGCTGCTTTCGAGAGTCTTCTTATCTCTCACATCTGCAATGCTTTCGGCATTCGAAAGACCCATACTACGCCTTATCATCCACAAGGGAATGGACTGGTGGAACGCACCAACCGAACCATCAAGCATCTCCTTCGTGCCTTTTTGCACAACGCACCGGAGAACACCTGGGACGATGTCCTGCCTCAATGCTTGCTTGCATACCGCTCCTCCGTGCATTCGTCGACCGGATTTTCCCCGGCTCTACTCTTGTTTGGGCATGAACTTCGCCTTCCTGTTGAGATCCGGACACCGTTGCTACCATACGAGAAGATCGACTGTATTCCCTACGTCCGCAACCTTCGTCACCACCTCGACACAGCCTACAACCTAACACGTCGACATCTGCAGTCTTCTTCGCAGCATCAGAAAAGCAACTATGATCGGTTTGCCCACGGACCAACCTATTCCCCGGGTGACTACGTCTGGCTTCATCGGCCGTCAGTCCCTGCCGGTTCGTGCCCCAAGTTCTACGCCCCCTGGAAAGGTCCATATGAAATCGTACAACACCGACCTCCAACTACATATGTCCTGCGGAACTTGCGACGCCCCCAGGAAAATCTCATCTCAGCACATTACAACCAGCTGAAACCACACTATCCACCAGCTGTCAAAGAACCGTCGACATCTTCGCAACCGCCACCAGCTACGACCTACTTCGAGGTGCCCACTGATGGAGGTAGTGCATACCCTATACCGCCGCCAGGCACTGAGGACAGTGCCTCCAGAGGGGAGGGAGCGATGTAATGATATAAAAACTAACATGACATCACTAAATGAGTCTCCTGTTTCCTCTTTTTCAGATAAGAACGCTGGCCTGGCCGTGCTGGAACAGGTGGAGGACTGTTTGTCTAACCTTGTTATAAATGACACTGATTAGCTTGTACCCGGGCAATTCGAACCCGGCGTGCTGGAAATATAGACCTTCCTCTCGCATCTTCCTCTTCTTCCTTCGCTGACTGTGTCTGTTGCTTCTGGGTGTTACACCTGCTGGTTAGTTTTCCTTGTTTTAGTGACATTTCTGCAGCTATTTCCGCTCTTCATTGTCTCGAAAGTGACCACCAAGAGCAGCTTGATTTTGAAGATGAAAACTTACCTCTGAACTCTTATGGCTTAGAAGTATTTTCTATCTTTATCTGGTTAATAATTTAATAAGTTATCCTCCGCAAAACTCAATAAGAGAGATTATGAGGAAGGTGCAGCATCTTCCACAAGTGGTGAGAGTTCTGGATCCAGTGAATTTGATGAGGGTGAAATGAAAAGCAGTGATGAATCTGAATTCAGCAAGGATGGGGATAGCTCTGAAGAAGGGGAAGTGCAGTCGGAAATTGATGAGGTAAATATTTTTAGTCTCAGAAGTTTTGTGTATATCTCCTTGTCATATACAATTATTGGCTCTGGGTTTTCATTCAACTTTGTGTTTGTAGCTTAGGTATTTGAGTAATCCCTCAGCTCTATTTTTCGTGGTTGTAGTCAGGAAGTGTATGCACTGCAGAAGGATTTAGTTGTGGCTATTAACTTTGTGTGTATAAAAGCTGGACATTGGTTATACCATTTGCTTCAGGAGCTCAGCTTTAAAATTTCATTCATACCAGTGTGTTCAGGTACATTGTCAGTAGTGGAAGACTTACGTGCACTCATCAGAAACGTTTAGGTAGTCATTTTACCCAAGGATTAGATAAGACATGATGGGGCGGTGCTTATAGTTTCAAGTTATTTCTGGATTTCACTACCTAACGCTTGTTGTTGATATTTCCATTTCATTTCCTTTGTCTGCTAACTCTGCGTTGATTGCTAACGAAATATGCCAATGAGCATTATTTCTTGTCTCTCTAAACATATTCCTCAGATTCAGTCTGAAAATAATAACATTGAAGCCTAGAAATGAGTTGAAAAATGTGTTTTATTAGCAAAGCTTTTTGTATCTCAGGTGTTTGTATGTATGTTGTATCTCTGAAAGACACAAGCCTGAAGCGAGCTGTCTCTATGGCTAGTATACCAAATGATGTGGAAATCTCATTGAGCCATGGAGTAGAAAATTCAGCATGACTGGATATCATTTGACTTTCTTTCCTATGCTTTCAGACTAGTAGATAGCTCATGCACCTGCATTTGTTAATAAATGGTCGGTATAAAGAACATCGTCGATACACTTGTGTCCTGATTTTTATGAAGGTTTTATGCCTGTGTCTAGAAAAGACTCCATCGAACATATATGTATACACCATAATGTTGTTTCTCCCAAGGAAGGTATATCCGATCTTGTGTAAAAACAGATGAAGAAATTTGACAAGTTGCTGCTTCATGGTAATAGAATGTATTAGTTTCGTGTAGCTTCATTCAGGACGATCCTCTCATTACAGTGAAATCCATTTCGATAACGTTAGACACCCATACCTAGCCATCGCCTTCATTGTTGGGCTGTTAGCTGATGCAGGATTAGTTCAGAGGAGAGTTTGGGATGGCCTAATCCATACATGGCATTAATCTGCAAAGTCAGGTTCTCATTATTCTCCTCATTGTTATTCTTTATCGGGTTCACCTCCATTCATTGTAGTTCTTTCGGGTATTGCAACTTGAAATGCTTCACTTCTATGCTAGTTCTTCGTTGAGTCAATCTTCAGGCTTTTCGCCCTGACAAAGACTGAAGATAGTTGGGAGAAGTCGACATGACAGGACTCGATAAGTTTTGCATCCAGAAGAGTTTATACTAATAAAGTCTTACCCTTTGACATGTTTATTGGTATTTGACTCTTATGGTATTTCTTGGCCTGAAGATGGCAATCAACTCTTTCGATCGAAGGTTTTTATGGTAGGAAGGAGGGAAGGAGGTGTCTTATGCTTATCGAGGTATTCTACTCTAACTCATGTAGTCGTATAAGAACTTTTGGGGAGTTTTTGTCCAGTGACAACAATTGTACATGTGTTGTATATTTCCCTTGTCAAAATTTCTCGTGAACTTTTCTATAGATTTACTTACGGAGGTGACTTCATGGAATTTCCACTTCAGCTTGTATTGCAGTCTTTGAACACAGTGACGTTAAACCAGAGTATATTAAGCATTTATTGCACTACTGTGAAGTGTAACATGGTACTAAAAACAAATCCGCATAGGTTCCTAAATGAGAGGAAAGTAATGAAGTGGTCGGATGTGTACGTAGGTGAGTTTACTTATTTGTAAATCTGCACCACTTCTAGTGAACTGGTTACTGATTATATCTCAGGATGGATAAAAAAAAGCTCATTGAGCAACTACCAGTTTGCACAGTCCCTTCCATAGGCATAACATCAGGTCATTCATGTTTCTTTGTTATTATTCTTTCTTCCTTACATTTCTTCTAATTATAGTTCTTTTGATTGTTTGCTTCCTCTGTGTGTGGGAACTTGAATAGCCGCACTTCTGTACTAAGTCCCACATTGAAACTCAACCAGTACAAGGTCATTCACTAAAGACAGAGTAACGGATAGTTCGCCACCAAGCTTAAATAACTGTGGAGTCGTTCCACCATGTCCGGCTGCTTAGCCTCTTTTCAGATGAAAAACAGCGAAATCAACAACATGAAGTTGGCTGGGTGATTTTAACAGACTGTCAGTGGTATTTTTCCAGCTACGGTCGTTACTAATGGTCTCAGCGTTAAGAGAAAGTGAAGAAGCTACTTGTGGAATCGTATCAGCATTAGGAATAAAGCAAAAGAAAAATGAAGGTGTATAATGATCTAGAAAGCTTTGTGTGCTCTTACATGAATGGAGAGGTAACATAGCTGATTTTCTGGTCGTCCGGAGTCAACACCTTACTGCCGTCATGACTTTGCCCTCAAAGCCCCAATTTATAAATTTCGATCGACTTAGTCTGTGGTCTGTCTGTCTGGATTCAACATAGAACTTGGCACCGAAGTGCAGCAGTTCGAGTTGCCACGTTCCAAATAGCACACAGAGGTAGACAAGAAGATGAGTGGAGAGAATTAATAGAGTTTGACAAATATAGGAGTGAAACAGAATGGGTAATGGTAGAAAGGAATATGAAAGATTACAGAGACTGAATACATCTGCGCCATTGACAACGATTTTGAGCCATGTCACCTATTGTCTCCAGCCATTGATTCCTGGAGTCCCGAGGGCCCCAACCCGGGAGTCTGCATCTCCCTACCTGACTCAGTTTAACTGTCAAGGATTTCATGGATTGATGCCATGTTTTTGTTTGGCCACCACTGGCTCTTTTCCAACCTGAACCTATATCAGCTAACAATGCCCGTCGGGGGAGGCGGTGGTTAGGCATGCGCGGCACGTGACCTAGCCATCTTAGTCTATGTAACTTTATAACCTCGTCGATTGATTTTCCCTCTTTGCCCAACACTCTACGCCTAACGTCAACATTACTTATCTTGTGTAACCACCTAACGTGAGACAGAGATCGCAGACATCTATGATCGAAAGCAGTCAACCTTTTCATGTCTTCAACGCGTATTGGCCATGTTTCAGAGCCATAGAGAAGGACGGAGCGAACTGATGAGCAGTACACACGTCCCTTGGTTGATAACCGGATGTCACGCCTACGCCAGAGATGGTGTAAGTCAGCGACAGCAGCTCGAGCTTTTCGGATCCGTGCTGAGATTTCATCGCCAATCAGTCCGTTGGTGCTAATACAACTTCCCAAATAGGTGAAGTGGTCAACATGTTCTATCACTTCACTCCCTATCACTAAGTTAGGGGTTGACGTCGTCCAGTCCTGTAGCAGCATCTTACATTTTGTAGGGGCGAATCGCATGCCAAACATACGAAGATTGCTGCTCAAGGTGTTCAGAAGACTCTGCATTTTGTCAGCATCCTCCCCTAACAGGACTATGTCATCTGCATATTCTAAGTCCATTAGATTATTCCCTGGTAACAAGTCGATTCCTAAGTCACTACGTTCAGTTAAGGATACTTCCATTAGCATATCTATGATGAAGTTAAACAGAAATGGGGAAAGTGGACATCCCTGTCGGACACCACTGGTTGTTACTAATTCAGATGACAATTCCCCATAAGCCCTTACACGACTACGTGAGTTTGAATAGAGTGCCTTGATTAGTGCGATGTACTTTCTTGGCACTCCCTTCACAGTCAGACATTGCCATAGTACTTTTCGGTCCACGGAGTCGAAGGCCGCCTTCAAGTCAAGAAATATGACAATTGTTGGACGCCGAAAGGTGTGTCTATGTTCTAGAATCTGTCGAAGAGTGAAGATATGATCTATGCACCCTCTACCTGGTCTAAAGCCTGCTTGATTTTCCCTTGTCTGTTCCTCCCGAGTTCTGCTTAGTCTATGCATGATTACTGAGCCTAGGATTTTAGAGACTATGTTCGTTAGGCTGATCCCCCTATGATTATCACACGAGGACTTGTTTCCCTTCTTGAATATCGGTATAATGAGTGACTTACCCCAGTCTGATGGTACTGTCTCTGATTCCCAGACTTTGCCTAGTACCTCAGTTAATCTACAAACTAGTATGTCACCCCCATATTTAAACACCTCCGGAATAATTCCGTCGGGTCCTGCCGCTTTGCCTCGTTTCAAATTACTGATAGCTTTTGTAACCTCACCTACAGACGGCGGACCAGTGTCTATATCCCATTCGGGTACGTGGTGGATGGCGGGGAGGTTCAGTGTGGCTGTAGGCAAGTTAAATTGTTCCTCAAAGTGTTCTTTCCAGCGTTCAAGGCGTCTATCCTGAGAGCTAATTAAGGAGCCATTTTTCTCAGAAATAGTCTCACTTATGAATTGCCTTTTCCCGCCCGATTCTGTGATGAGTCTAAAGAGTTGCCTAGTGTTGCCTATCGCCAATGCTTTTTCCATCTCTTTCGCCTTTGTCACCCACCACTGTTCACGGTCTTTGCGGAGACTTTTAGTAAGTTTCCTTTTGTGCAGCTTTCGCTCCTCATTGAATTCGGAGCTCGCCGGAATAAGTCTTCTAGCATCTATCAGTTCGGATGAGGCAGTCGAAATCCAGTGGTTTTTACTCACCTTTGGATTTGTCTTATTCACAGCTTTTACAGCTGTATCTATAGCTGACTGAATATTCTTCCAGGCTTCTCCAGGGTGAGCACAGCTGTCGGATTCAGATATGCGTTTAGCTAGTTCTTCCTCAAATAGGGATTTAGTTTCCTGATCGAGCTGGGGGCGTAATGGTTTTACCGCCAGCTGTTTCCTACGTCCGTTCAGTCGTAAGCACACACGAGCCCGGACCAGTGCATGATCGGTATCTACACACGTGTTCCAGAAGGAGCGACAATCTCCTACCGACCCACGCCAACGATAGCTTATTGCTATGTGGTCTATTTGTGTCCAGCGTTGGTTTGATGATGGGGGTCGCCAGGTTAAACAGTGTCTCTCCTTGTGTTTAAAGTTAGTGCTTACAAGAAACAAATGATTATCTGAACAGAACTGTAGGAGACGGTCACCGTTGTCGGTTCGCTGGTACGGAACTCCATAGGTGCCACCGACATCCTTCTCAGATTGACACAATTTCCCTACTTGAGCGTTGAAGTCACCAGCTAGAACGACTATATCTGAGCGTTTAGCCTTTCTCACCAAACTAGACAGCTTTTGGTAGAACTCATCCTTCGTTTCATCCGAACTGCAGTCAGTGGGGGCGTAGGCGGAGATTACGAAAAGGCATCGGCGAGTAGTGCAGTCCTTTCTCCTTCTTACTGATCCGTTCAGACGGACAGCACACATTCGGCTATCTACTGGGATCCAGTCAAGCAATGTCTTTTCTGCCCTAGTACTCAGAGCTATCCCTACGCCAGCTAATCCCCGTGAACTAGCTGTGGCATCTCCTGACACCCTCAAGGTGAATTTTGAAGATTCATCCTGTTGGCCAGGTGGGGTTAGGTGAATAACCACACTTGGGTCTTGTATGCGTGTTTCTGAAACACAACATACATCAATGGCTCGAGATGCCAGGGTCTTAGCTAGTGATGCTTGTTGTCCTATTTGGCAAAGTGTCCTTACATTAAATGCTCCTATATGAAATTGGTGGCGTGGCTTTAGGAGACTATCCGTGGTGGTTTTTTGGCTTTCGTCGTTTTTAGTGGACACAGAGTGAAGAGGGAGTGAGGAGCCATCAAGTAGAGGAGTTGCATCACTGGAGGAAGGTAAGGTAATAGAGATGAAGATGAAGACAAAGATAAGTGAGGATTAGAGAGGTTTTGTGTGCGTTTTGGATTGTGAGGGCGATTGTTACTTCCCGGCTGCCCACACCGTGGAAGTTGGTTGCGTGACCGCAGAGCCCAGGGGACAACTGCTTGTGGCCGGTCACACGCGGCCTGTTTTTGTTCGTTCTTCGTTGTTTTGTGTGCCTCAGTAGCATACTTATCACTCCCGCCCTGTGACACGGCAGCAGGAAGCGCGGTCGTTGTTAATCCGGGCCACGGCCGATCCGGCATGAAATTTTGTGAATTTGTTTGGATCATGGTATTGGATGAGGTAGCTGCTTTTTGTTTAACCGCTATCCAAACAACCTGCCTGGCATGGTAGAACCTCAAGAGACATAAGTCTCAGCCAGTATAGCTTGATTAGGTCATTGCGGTGTTCAAGCCCGACCACCACGTCAAGGTAGCAGCTTTCGGTCGGGAGTCTGTGGTGGTAACTGCTTTTAGTCTGGTCGCTATCAGAATGACTTTTAGGATTTTCATCATGATCTGACATTAGTTAGAGAACCATTGGAAAACCTGGGAGTACTGGACAGCTGTTTCCTCCGTCCTAGTTTGGGACTCTTCAGCAGTACGCACCCACCGGGATTCGAACCCAGGACCTGGTTACAAGGCCAAACTAGGATGAAACAGCTGTCCAGTGCTCCCAGGTTTTCCAATGGTTCTCTAACTAATATCAGATCATCATGAAAATCCTGTAACCAATCAGATCTCTACAAACCAACACTAGAATGACTTTTATTGTATGTTAGGGCCTGCATCAACGTTACAGTCAATGTTGTTCCTTGTATCTTTGGGACATACAAACCCGACCACTGTGTCAGGGTAGCAGGTATCAGTCAAGAACACTAAAGACAGTGTTTATTGCATTTTAGCTGCTCTATTCAACATGAAAATTCTGATATACGGCTTTTGTATCCAGAAATGAAAAGATAGTGTCGTTTCTTGGCTCTGATCTTCATGTAGAGGACTGGATGTGCAAAGTTTTAATGGTTGGCTTGCAAGTCAAGATGCGACTTTGTATAGATGTATATCAATCCAAGTTGTTACATCTCAGGAAAGCATTTACTGGATAAGGGAACAGGGATTTAGTGGTGTCATAGTGAACAAAAGTATATATGTGTGTGGATAAAGTAATTAAATAGATAGCATTGAAGATCCTCAGAATTCCAGTAACTAATACGGCATACATATGCGCTACTATGATTGCTTTCTAGCTTTCTGACTGCCAGTCTACAACAACTGATTCGTAGCAATAGGTGTTGTTACTCTAATTTTGCGTAATAAATAAAGATAAATGCATCTAAACCGCTCACAGTTGCATATACAATACAATGTTTTATGTTCGATGTAGGAAAAAGCTTTTTGACTTATACTTTGAAAATTTTACTGTCACAATTGTGTGTTTTAGTTTTTATTGAGTGCATAACATTAATGTAACTTGACCATCCGTACAGATTAACTGTGAACCATACTTAAAAGATAGAGGTTCATAATGGTGCTTGACTACTGAAGCCGAGTCCTTAACTCACGACCCATTTGTCGAGCACCTGAGCTGCTGATGAACTTCATCTTAATTTTTACTGTTAAATACCTCTGAGTTCTCTGGTGTCTAGTGGTAGTAGTAGTAGTAGCTTCTTGCCAAATTTATTCATCGTTATTGTTAGAGTGGGATAAGTGCAATCCCCCTCCCCCCCCAACACCCGAGTTCCCTGCCATATATACTATTAAGAGTGCCATACTGACCGTGTAAGACATTTTTAATATTCTCTTGGGTTCTGAGTGTAGCATTTCATCCGATTCTCCACTATCCTTTCCATTTGGCTCTACGATTGCCCATAAGTTTTCATTTCCTCGTGCGGTCTCCTCCATGTCATCCTCCATGTACGCCCTTCCGGGTTCCACTTGAAGGCCTCTCTCTGGCGCGTGATGTCTAGTAGGCTTCTGAGCAAATTTCCAATTCATCGTCATTTCCTTCTTCCTATTACTTGGTAGGTAATAAGTGTTTGGTTGGTTCATTGTCTGTCTGTCTGGATTCAACTTAAAACTTGGCACCCAAGTGCACCAGTTCGAGTTGCCACGTTCCAAATAGCACACAAAGGTAGACATCAAGATGAGTGAAGAGAATCAATAGAGTTTGACAAGTATAAGAGTGAAACAGAATGGGTAATGTAGTAGAAAGGAATATAAAAGATTACAGAGACTGAATACATCTTCGCTGGCCATTGACAACGATTTTGAGCCATGTCACCACCTATTGTCTCCAGCCATTGATTCTTAGAGTCAGCCCCGAGGGCCCCAACCCGGAAGTCTGCATCTCCCTACCTGACGGACTCAGTTTAACTGTCAAGGATTTCATGGATTGATGAGGCCATGTTTTTGTTTGGCCACCACTTACTCTTTTCCAACCTGCACCACCTATATCAGCTAGTAATGCCCGTCGGGCAGGGGAGGCGATGGTTAGGCATGCGCACCACGTCACCTAGCCATCTCAGTCTATGTAACTTTATAGCCTCATCGATTGATTTTCCCTCTTTGGCTGCCGAACACTCTACGCCTAACGTCAACATTACTTACCTTGTTAAACCACCTGACGTGAGACAGAGATCGCAGACATCTATGATCGAAAGCAGTCAACCTTTTCATGTCTTCAACGCGTATTGGCCATGTTTCAGAGCCATAGAGAAGGACGAACGGAGCGAACTGCTGAGCAGTACACGCGTCCCTTGGTTGATAACCGGATGTCACGCCTACGCCAGAGATGGTGTAAGTCAGCTGGAGCAGCAGCTCGAGCTTTTTGGATCCGTGCTGAGATTTCATCGCCAATCAGTTCGTTGTGGCTAATACAACTTAGTAGCACTGTTTGACCATTCATATTGTGATAGGTGCAGTAGGTTTTGAACACCCATGACCTATTGACTAGAGTTTATGTATCTAGAGTCTAGAGTGTATTCCCGGCTGCCCACAACGTGGAAGTTGGTTGCGTGATCGTAGAGCCCAGGGGACAACTGCTTGAGCCAGGCCGGTCACACGCGGCCTGCTTTTGTTTGTTCTTTGTTGTTTGGTGTGTGTCTCAGTAGCATATTTATCACTCCTGCCCTGTGACACGGCAGCAGGAAGCGCGGTCGTTGTTAATCCGGGCCACGGCCGATCCGGCATGAAATTTTGTGATTTTGTATTTATCATGATGTTGGATTGGATAGCTGCTTTTTGTTGCACCTCAAGAGACATAAGTCTCAGCCAGTATAGCTTGAATAGGTCATTGCGGTGTTCAAGCCTGACCACCACGTCAAGGTAGCAGCTTTCGGTCGGGATTTATGATACATATTATTAGGTGCATTAAGAGGACATTTCGCATTTTCAGAAGATATATACTTCTCAACTTAGAATACAGTTTAATTCTTGTCAGTTATCTGTGAACAAGATGCATCTTCTTGAAATCTAGATTAAACAAATTAAAGTCCCCGTTCCAAATCCAAACACTGCAGCAATTTCGCTTCCAGGCTCCACATTGACACTTTCAGTCAGTCAGTATTACGTCACTAAAAAGACTGACTGATTGTTTATTCAACATATAGCTTAGCATAAAAGTGCAGCAGTCCAGATCGCTTCAGGGATATCGATACCATGTCTTGATTAAAACATTTTTAATTCCTTTCCAACTTACTCCTATGTGTTAGCTAACATTATTGAATTAATGAAAAAAAATATTTGTGGGTAGTGTGTTCTCCACCTATGTAGTGCTCTTTTTATTTTTTAATGACAGGATATGCTACTGCCTTTCAGTCTAATATTTCCAGATTCTCTATGCCTATTTGCATTAAAAAAAAACCAAAACTAAACAGTTTTGTATTATTTTCGCTTTTCTACCGATTTAAAGTTTTTTTTACCGTTTTACAGGTCGAAGTAACACTGGATACCGTGGTGAAAAAAGACGAAACACCATGGGAACGTGGTCTTCGCTTAGCACGAGAGGTAAGCAGAGTCCCTTTTTTCTCTCTTTCTCTCCCTCCCCCTCTGTGGAGAGTAAAACACCACACCTCTCTGATGATATATTTGCTTCATTTGATTTGATTAGGGCCTGGTTGAAATATATATATATATATTATTGCTCCCTTGGGTTCCTAGTGGAACATAGGACTTCAACTGCACGTCTCCACTTGCTTCTGTCTTCCTTCTGCTGTACTTTTCACCTGCATCCATGCATGTTAGTCCATATTGTTTCAACTCCTCTTCACACGATCTCCTCCATGTCACCCTTGCACCGACGACCCACTCGCCGCGTCCTTCCCTTTCGGCCTGGTTCCACTCGAGCAATGGCCTGACGCGCGCGTGATGTCACCCAGCGACGGCCTCAGCCGCGAGTGTCCAATCCATCTCCACTTTCTCCTGCGTATTTGTTGGGCGGCGATCGGTTCTTGTTTTGTTTGTTCCCATAGTTTCTTGTTGGTGATTCTTTCCGGTCCGACCACCAGTATAGAGCGAAGACAGTTGTTAATAAAGGTCTGCAACCTTTTGGAAGTATTCTTTGTCTGTCTTATCCGTATAGAAGAACTAACTGACTTGACGTTTGTACTGAAAATCTGACTGAATTTTGTTGTTGGTGCTGGCTGAGTGACGAAGATTTCCAGATTGGTTTCAGGTTGATGAATGTGTTTCTCGCCTTCCCGATTCCCGATTTGGGAATACCTAACATATATATATATATATATATATATATATATATATATTAGGTATTTGGCAACTGTGTTGTAATTAAAATAATGGACAGAGTTAAACTTGAAGCACCACTAACTACCAATCAGCGAACTATCTATCGTCAACGGACCATTCACATGGAAGAGGGATTTTTGATGAAGGAAAACGTATATTCATGGAAAAAAAGCATAAAAAAACTGCATAAAACTGTTACATAGGGTATCTTTCTCTAACATATGACACAGTGGTTAGGACTCTTGCCGACCATGCACATGGTCCAAGGTTCGATCCCCTGCCGACGCACACCTGATATCTATGGTTGGCCTGCAAAATTTGGGCTGCCGATATCCATGCTGAAAACTCCGTACTTGTACCAAAAATACGGTGTGTAATCAAGCTGTAATCAAAATAAAATAAATAAATAAGTCGACGGGAAAATCAAAAATGCAATTAAATTAATATGACTCTCGTTGCCCAAGTGGTCTAGTGGATAACGCTTTGGTGTTTGAAACTATGGGCACTCGGTTCGAGCCTCGGTGGGAACATCATCACTCACTGGGAAATGCAGGTACATCCACTAGCTGTCGAGTCCTAAATAGGGTGAAATGAGCATCCTCGATTCCACTGCTAGTCATCATCCACCAACTAAATACTAATTAAATGCCCAGACGTCGTCGAAGCATCTGCACAAGAAGCCGACATGTCAACGTGTGACCAAACACTTCGGTTCAATCAATCGACGGGAAAGTAAAAAAATTCAATTAGAATAAATAAAATCATTGTTATTTCGCTGGACTTCCTTATCTAGAATCACAAGTTAGGTGTTTCGGATTAGTTAGTTAAAGGTCATTGGTAACGCTGAATTAGATTTTTAGTTTGCGAATTAATCGGCTATTTGTAAATTATACAGTTCGAGGTTAGACGCTTCACCAGTTTCATTTTGAAATTATTCAGGTCACAACACGTGATCTGATTCATAACATAAATACCACTCAAGAAGGCAAGATTAAACGCATGATACTATGAACTAATAACTGATTGATTGATTGATTGGTATGAATAACTGGATGGCATTCATACCAACCAAGTAGTGCTTACTGGTCAACCAGATGGCCGGATGGCCGATTCATTCGTTTGCGGCCGAGTTCGTCAGTGATGTATATACTCGCTCTGGCTTAATTCACAGACAGGCGAGTCAGTTCAAACCAAGTGAATTTTGTAGCTAGCGCCCCCAAGCCCCCTCCCACGCGAATTCGTAATATTATTGAATCGAATTCGCAACAGTTTGGATGCTTCTCTGAGCTGTGTCAAACCGGATACACACCACTGTTGACCTCGACGCCGAACGGGCGAAGCGGTCATCCATTGTTTTTAGAAGCCTCAACGATCTGGCTAGCAGGCACTGCTGGTTGATGTGATCACTGGTGTATGTAGCATCATTATTAACTTTCCGTGTATGCCTCTCGTCCTGAGATATATCCAGTGAACCATACTTAATGTGTGTGTGAAGGCTGGTCATACTATATTACTCACTTGGCACACAAACTGATTTAGACTGAGTAGGATTCATACTTGGGACCCATCGGCCGAAAGACAGGTATGCAAACTCCCTGTCGACAGTCCCTTTTGAGGCGTCAATTATCGGCTTGATTTTAATCAATCCACTTCCATCTCTCAGTTTCCCTACATTCGTTTCATTGTACAGTTGTTTTTTTTCAAGCGTGTTGGTTTGTTTACGAGGATTTGACTGGTTACTGGTTTGATGACAAGTTGGCATCGGTTACGGAACCATTGAAAACTAGCGAGTACTAGAAGTGCCATCGTCCTAGTTTGGGACTCCTTATCAGTACACACTCACCAGAGTTCGAACCCTGGGGTTGGATTGGGTCTCAGTGTCTGGATGGCCTACAAAGCCACCTTGTAACATGGAGGTCCTGGATTCGAACCCCATTAGGTATGTACTATTGAAGCGTCCCAAACTAGGCGAAAACATGATCTGTCCAGTAACTTCTTAGTTTTCCATTTGTTCTCTAACACACCTAGTTCTTTTCTCATCTCTGCTTTCTTTTTATTCTTTCACGTTCCAGTGAAACATAAGGGGATTCAAGCTAGAGGCTTGAAGTTTCTGTAGCAGTGGTGATTATTTTTACAGGATGGGTGAGGTGGGATTGTTAGCCTCATGCCCAACCTTTCCTCTTTACCAGCTTTATGACTGGTTTGGTGAGGTAAAAGAGTGCATCTGTGGCCGGGGATTGAATCCTGGACCATGTGCATGTTCGGCGAGCGTCCTAACCTCTGTGCCACCGATGCACTCTCTGCTTTTAGAAATGCGTTAAATTCCATTATTGGTTTTATAAATCCAGTTTATGAGTCGTTTAATGTGTAATTTAGCCTAAACAGTGTGTATACGCATATTACCAATATTTTGTTGTGATGTTGAATTCTGTAATATTTAATATAAATATGTTTACATGTACGTGTGTATATTTATTTCGGTCTACAGCGATTAGAACGTGTCAAAGCCTTAAAGGCGAAAGAAAAGAATCTTGCAGAAAAGCGTATGAATTTACCTGTGCCAGCAACTTTTACAGAGAAGAAATCTGACGCATCTCTTGAAGACGATTATTTGTAAGTGTTGTATTCATCATTTTGCTTTACTCACTTTTTTTTGCCTCGTCACTACTAAGTCCTCTAACCATTGTGGATTTTAATATCACGAGGATTTCAGTCATACAGTCCATCCTTCTCTCTCAACACTCTACGCCTAACGTCAAAATTACTTACCTTATTAAACCGGAAAACTTTTCCATGATAATATGTGAAGTCCTAAGTCGCTGAAGTCAGTTAGGGTCAATTCTATAATTATGTCGATGATGAAATTTATCTAAAACTGAGGATAGTGGGGTTCTCTGATGGACGCCACTGGTTGTGATTATTTCAGTTGACAAGTCTGGTAGCTACGCATGCATAACATATGGAGCTTAAATGTGCTTCCAGATCAAATAAAACATATTATTCACCTAAGTGTAAATCATCATTTTTTAAGTGTGAAAACACTCGTCCTCCAAGTCTGTGTAGAGGTCAACAGCACAACTCAGTATGTAAAATAAGATCCGGATTTTAAACTCCAATGTGAAGTCAGTGCCACTTGCTATACAGATCAGATACTTGGCGCGTTATGTGAAGGGCACTTCAAAAAAAACTACAGACCTTCATCAACAGCTGTCTTTGCTCAATACTAATCAAGATCAGATGGCCACTGAAAAAGATCAGCAACAGGTAGGAATCTCTGGGAGCGAACCAACCAACCAAGGACCAATGGTACAACAAACATGTAGGAAGAAATAGAGGTGGATGGGGCATACTCTGAGAAAACAAACCATCAAGTGAGTGATATCACATGCCAGACCATCGCTCGAGTGGAACCCGAACGGGAAGCGACGAGTTGGTTGTCAGTGCGAGGGTGACATGAAGGAGGTTATGTGAACAGTAGTTGGAAAGCATGTGGACAGAAGTGGAGCCAGGTGAAAACCTTGGCAGAGGACTGGGCGCAATTGAGATGTGCGGCGTAAATCCTACATTCCTTTAGGAACTAAAGTAAATGATAATAATAACATAATATGAACAAAGAAAGAAGACACATTGGCGCTGAATAATCTAGATCCATTTTATTTCGTCGGTTCTCATCATCTGCGTACAACCTGAATTCTTTAATCAAATAAAAAAAGTGTACAACTTAAACTTAACTTCAATAAGGTGAGCAACATTGAAGTTAGGCGTCAAGTTCTAGGTAAACTGGGGAAATCAATCGACGAAGTTGTGAAGTTACATAGACTGAGATGGTTAGGACATGTGTTACGTATGCCAAGTCATCGCCTCCCTCGACGCGAGCAATGTTAGCGAATATAGGGTCAGGCTGGAAAAGAGCTAGCGGCGGTCAAACCAAAATATGGCCTCATCAGCCAATGAAATCCACAATAGTTAGTTTAAGCCAGCCACGTGGGAAGTTCTGTACTTCCTGGTTGGGGTCCTCGGGACGGTAAAAACCAGTGGTTGGAGACAATTGGTGATATGAGTCAAAATCGTTCTCAATGGCTGGCACAGATGCATCCACTCCTTGTGACTTATGATTTCCAATGAAACTATATTGTTCTTCGTTATTACTATTCCTTTGTCTCACACCTCTGCTCACTGTCTCTATGATGCTTTTCTTGTACTTTCTTCTCTTGGTTTGTGTGCTACAAGGAGGGAGTGTGGCGACTTGAACTGCCTCATATCGGTGCAAAGTTCTATGTCGAAAACAGACAGACAACTTAAACAAACTTTTGTCCATTAGCAAGCATACTCTCAGAGCGTCATAGTGAAATAAGGCGTTGCAATTTACAAGGTGTCTAGTGTTTCGACATATATATATATATATATATATATATATATATATATATATATATATATATATATTGTTAGAGAGAAGTTACTTGACAAAAGTTAATTGACAGTTGTGTTGTTGAGGTGATAACAAAAGAAATGTAGTAATGGTTACGTAATTATATAAGAGAAGATCAAAATTTCGGTGCACATGAGGTCAGATGGGTTGATGATGTAATACAATGAGCAGAACTCAAACGATCAAGAAGAGAGTCAAGCGAAAAAATAAAGCGAGGGGGTGGAGTGAAAAGGCAATTTCACAAATTTAGAAAACAAAAAGTTACTAAGAAGTGAGTCACCAGGGTAATTGAGGTTCAACAACCGACTCTTTTTGGACACATAAGTCAGGCTTCAATCGTTTTATTGCTATAGCTTCAGCGAACCTGAGAAGACTTGAGGTACTTTGTTTCTTAATTATTTTGAATGATTCCAGCACATCTACTCTGTGTCCTGTGTCAATCAGGTGTTTGGCGGCGATTGAAGAGCTTAAACAATTCGGTCCCTTTAACTGGAGGCTTCTTGGTACATGTTCGCGGAATCTGACGTAGGCCTCCTCTCTGTCCTTCCAATGCAACGGCTCCCGCAGATACATGGGAATTGGTATACACAGTTGGAGGTAACATGTGAGGAGGTTGTTCTGGGTAGAAAGACTAATAATGCTGCAGAATACATCCTAGACAGGACTGCGCTTAATCTTTTATTTACCATTCTCATAATGTCGTCGCCTTTGTAGTCAAGTTTGATGAAAATAGGCTTCTTACTGACTGTAGCTGGATCAAGTTTCTTGAGTTCATTCTTGCCATATTTGTTAATGATAATTTTTTTCTGGGTAACCATTTTCTTTCAAGCCTTTTTCAAGAAGCATTAGTTCACTGTCTAGTTTGTTTGGTGAACATATTCTCTTTGCTTAGGGAAATTTAATAATAAAAAGAAAACTTCTGGATAATAATAATTATTTCGCTTTTATTCCAGAAACAGTACTTGTGGTACAGTGTGGAATTTTCAGCACACATATCTACAATATTGCATCTAATTTCATCGTACATTTAAAAGGAGTATTACAAAAAATAAATAAATATGAAAAAACAGCAATAAACCAAAAAGGAAACACAGAAATAACAAAAAAACAAAAGAAAAAAATGCAAATAAAAATACCAAGTAGAAAGGAAGATAAACACCAATAATGAAAAAAATATTTCAGTATTGGGTAGTAGAAGCTATGATATGTGTATGCGTGGTGAACAGTAACACCTATAATCATACAAGAAATTATTGAGATGTTCTTAAGAATGTTTATAGCCAAGATGATCAGTTAATTTGATTGAACAACACTAAACAATCATAAAATAAACATTTCAGGGTTTTTATTTTTGTTGTCAGCTTTAATCCAGTGTTTGTAGTGGTAGTGTGAGTAATCTTGCATAATATAAAATTTTTTAAGATGGTGATAGTGGCATTCACAAACAAGATTGTCAGTTAATATTGCCGAACAAAGAACAACCACAAAACTAATATTACATGATGGTTAATGACAGGACAATTTAGTAATACTCATAGTGCTAATATATTCGGGACCAGTAGATACACAAAAGAGGGAATAGAGTAAGGTACAAAAAAGTGAGCCAATGATAATAATTTTAGGTAGCTAAGTATGTTTAAGAAGGTTGTTCACTATAGAGTACAAATAAGAGAGTATAAGGGGGAAATAACAAGGGCCAAAATTATGTTATTAACAACAAAGCAAGTCATAGGTTTGGCGCTTAACATTGTCTCTGTCACTTAAAACACGGGCCAAATATGCTATCGTTGAGTTCCTATACTTGGTTGTACGAGCATATATAATTTTGTACTGATTTCTGGTTCTACCTGATGAGATGCAAGGAGAGAGTTGGGAATAGAGGGGGTGTTGAGGGTCGGAGAGTATGGTTTTAGACCATTTTTCGCATGTATTCAGATGCTTATCTACTAATGTAGTGACAAGCTGAGTTTTACACCACTAGTCCTACTATCTTCAACATCCTTCTCAGTATGGTATAATCCTTTTTTTCAGTAACCCAGGAAAGACGAACGGGGAGCAGTAAAGTAGAATAGGTAAATACGAAAGTTGACAAATTGTGAAAGCAGAGGTTGAGTGACTCCAGTTAGTCCGAGTTTCTTAAATTAGTAGGTTAGACGAAACACTTTCGTGGAAATCAGTTGGATATGAAATGACCAAGTAAGGTCGGAAGATGAACTAATCCGAGGTATTTTGCACTAGACTTACTTTCAATTATAGTCCCCTCAATGCTACAGGCATCATGAGTGCTCACTAGTTTTTGTAGATCTCGTTTATGCCTAAAGAAGAAGTCAATAGTCTGGCATTTTTTTTAGGGATACAGCATGAGACCATTTAGTTTAGACCACTAACTGATGTTCGACAGGAAGCTATTTAATTTGAAACAGTCTGACTGAGGCTTAACGGGAAGCGAAACAGTCAGGTCATCTGCATATTTGACGAAGTTGATTTCATCTGAGAGAAGTAAGTCATGTAAGAAGAAGGAAAAGAGAAACGGCGAGAGAACAGCACCCTGAGGAACACCAGGTTTCATTTAGCAAAGGAGAGGAAGCTACACCATTATATACCGTGTACTGCATCCTATTGGTGAAGTAAGATTCCAGCCAGTTGATGGCCCAGGACTCAGTTTGTGTAAGGCTAAGCTTGTTTAACAAAAGGCCTCTGGTTACAGAGTCGAAAGCAGATATGTAATCAAGGAAAGTACAACGGACATATATATATATATATATATATCCTAAAATAGATCTCCCTATAAATGTATAAATCATTTCTTCTCATCAGTTAAGATTAACTAACTGTTCTTCTTATTCCCTTGTGCCCTTCATCATTTCAGTCTTTAACAGAATTAGTTCTACCGAATCAAACAAAATTACAAAAACTTATTGAAAATCTATTAGATATTGATGTTGCTAAATCACAACTTGATGAAACTGGTCATATCAGCCTGGAAGTGTATAAAAATGAAGTGATTAATTTAATGAAACAATTTTGTGCACCTGTGCGGGATCAAGAAGTTGAAGATTTACGCAAAATTGATGATCCTGTTGAATCTTTTAGGTATGTGTTGTTATTGTCTTTGTGTGTTTTACATTAATTATATTTATCATTATTATTATTATATCCTTTAATTCCTAGAGGAATATAGGGC